GAGAACTCCAGATTTTGGTTTCCCCAGAGAGCGGAGCACAGCCATCCTCATAAAGCTCTGAGATGAGCCTGGAATGCTGAAGACCCGCAAATACCAACTGCCATCAAGGAAGAAAAATCCTGCTTCTTGGCTGTCATCATCCTTTCTATCCTGCAGGTTGCTGGTGGCACACGTAGTTGTGGATGAGAAAGACAGAGAAAGTTTGTGTGTCACCCCGTGGTTGAATTAAGTATTTGGAAAGACCCAGTTACAAAATATGCACATGGCATCTCTGCTATAGCCAATATAAAATCATGGGGCTGCTGTCATATAATTGCCTCCTTTTTTTTTCATTCTAACAGGAAACTACTTAGCACCAAACAGGCTCTGTGATTTAAAAAAAACCCCACAAAATAACAAACAAACAAAAAAACCCAAAGAAACAAACAAACAGAAGAAGAAAAATATTTAAAGGAGAAAGAATAAATTATCAGTGCATTTTAGGAAACCTATTTCCCTTCCAAGGACTCTTTCAGCCCTTTCACAAAGTGAACCTGATCCCAGTGTATTCAATAGTAGTCTTTTCTCACACTAGCTCTGTGCAACCTGGGCAATCTACATCACCAGGTGTGAACAGAACCTAAACATCAGGAAGAACAGGAGAGTGAGGCACATCAAAAAAGCAAATCTTCCTGTGACGTGTCTAAGCCTCAAACAAGAGACAGAATTCTTACCTCTTGCTCTCTTCACTGATAAGAGACACCAGAATTTAGCAACGGGATTTAATGTGTGCCTATGCCAAATCAGATAAACAGCAAATGCTTCTGATGCTACATACATTGCATTTACAAGAAGCAAACCCTCAAGGAACAAATCTAGATTATTAGGCTTTGGCCCATGCAATTCTCCAGATATGTGACTTTGTTCTCTTACCTTGGATGACATTATGTTTTTGACCTCCTCATCAGTAGCAGTTTGTGTAACAGCGATGTCAGGATTGCTGCAGCTTATCACTCGGCTCTGCAGGAGTTTACTGCCAACAGACACTGCGGAAGTGCGTCCAAAGGTGTAATAACGAGACTCTGTTGAAATGGCACTGCTGCCTGCACCTGCCCATAGGGAGATGTTTGAACTAAGACTAAAGGACATATATACGAGACAAACATGAGATTCAAGCCAGCTGTGCTCAGTGCTGTTATGGCATCAGCATTTTGGACACATAAACCTCCTGAACATCTCACCACCAACTGCTTTGTTAACAAATTACATAGGCATGGAATGACAAGGTGCAGATGTTTTCTGAGTCAACAGCTCTCAGGGCGATTGCACAAGCAGTAACAAAAGATTAACAGGGCTCCCTGAGCAGCAACACTATTACAACAGCTTTTCTTCTTCTTCCCATCAGCTCTTTTCAATTTGCTGTAGATTAAGATTCACAGGCCTAAACACAAAATACCACCTTCAACACATAACATTTAACACCATGTTCAAGGTATCCAAGAAAGCAGGAAGCACTGCCAGCAGAATTTCACTACATAATTACCTGGTTTTCAGCTTCCTCATGGACCTTATTTTTGGAGGATAAAGAATCTCTAAGTGCAGGCAAGCTCAGAGATCTTAGCACATCCTAACATCAGTCTAAAAGTCCCTCAAAGGGAATTTAAATGAATATTTGAAAGAGAAAAGGGCCTATATTTCTTTAGCTCCCACAGCACAGCTGCTTAGTGGTAAGTCATTTAATACATGTCAATTAATCAAATGAATCCTATAGGCTTTAGGACTATGGACTGCAGCAGAATAACAGAATGGTTGAGGTTGGAAGGGACCTGTGGAGCTTACCTGGTCCAACCCTCCTGCTCAAGCAGGGCCACCTAGAGTCTGTTGCCCAGGACCATATCCAGATGGCATTCTAACATCTCCAAGTTGAGACACTCCACTATCTCTTTGGGCAATCTGTGCCAGTGCTCAGTCACCCTCACAGGAAAAAAATGTTTTCTGATGTTCAGAGGCAAACTCCCGTGTTTCAGTTTGTGCCCATTGCCTCTAGTCCTATCATTGGGCATCACTGGAGACAGCTTGGCTCTGTCTTCTCTGCCTTCAGGTCTCTGTATACGTTGAAGATCCTTCCTGAGCCTTCTCTTCTCCAGGTTGAACAGTTCCAGCTCTCTCAGCCTTTCTTCTTTGGAGAGATGCTCCAGCCCCTTCATTCCCTTCCTTGCCCTTTGCTGATGTCTCTCCAGCATGTCCATGTCTCTTTTGTACTTAGGAGCCCAGAACTGGACATAGTACTGCAGACACGGCCTCACCAGTGCCGAGCAAAGGAGAAGGATCACCTCCCTTTATTTGCTGGCCAACACACAGGATTTCATCCTTTGATGACATCCCTAATGTGATGAAGAAATTGGCAGAGCTTGGCACTATGCCACTTGTCAGTAAGTTAGTTTGCATGGAAAGCAGTTTACTGATGTAAAGGCCAGTAAGGAACTGGCATCTTAAAGGCCATTTTAATTTCTGGAGGAGATTCCTATGGAAAAAGCCTCAGTTTAGGAGATGTCTCTCACTTTCATCTTCATGAAGCTACAGTGTTGCATATAGCTGTGGAGTCCTCACACCTTAACCCTGCATCTCAAATGACTGAGAGATAGAGATTATGGGCGGCAAGTCCATGCTGTTCTTTGCAGTCGTGAGATCCCTGACCTTCCTCCAAGAATAATGATCTATCTATCTGAACAGTGCTTTGCTTAAATGGTTTGCAGTCTGAGTCTGAGAAGTTGTGTTTGCTATTTTATAGGCCTGTTCCCTAAATCCTCCTCTCAGAAGCACCATGCTGAATAGCATGTATCAAGTAAAAAGAATACTTTTGCAACCCTTACACCAATATTACCTGGTTTGACTACTTCCCTTTGAGGGTCTGGCAGACGAAATACATAGTAGACATAAGATGCCAAGAGGCAGTTCCTCCCATGTTGGTCTTTGCTCAGGTCTTTGCTGTTGTGGAGACTATTCACTATTGCAACCACAGATTCAAAGGCAAACTGTGAGAAATTGGCTGTGAAACAAAGACAAGAATTAGCCTCAGCGCTGAGGAGTATAATATAATACAGTTGAGGGCATTTGTTATACCAACAAAAAACAAATCCTACATGCTTTAATTCAGTCCTTAACAAATTCAGAGCTCTCAACAGCAATTGCTATATGTGACCAGACCCAAAGTCTACATAGGCCAATAACTACTGCTTCAGTAGACCCATTAACTTTCAACCCAATCACTGCTACTGCATCACTTGGTGCTACAAAAAAGCAGACCATATGTGTTAATTACCATTTCTAGCAGCCTTTGTCCATTTCCTATAAATACCTACTTGAAGAATTCTAAGACTCTTTTTTCTTCAACTGACAGAGAAATACAAGCTGGCAGGCTTTTCCACAGATATAGTGGATGACAAGTGTTGATTATGAAAATGAGATAGGAAATAAACTATGCCACTGTCTCCAAGTATGCCTTCCCTCCAGAGTTAACATACACGATAGGCAACTGGCAGCCTCAGTAACAGAAAAATATGTGTGCATTACTATAACCTCTCTGGTTTTGTATTCGCTCAATTCTGTGTAAAGATATTCGGCCAGAGAAGATGATGCAGTCAGCAATGTCAGCAATGATGTCAGCAATGTCAGCAATGTCAGCTGTAGGATAAGTGGTTCTGCCGGTGTTTTCCTTGCAAAACAACTGAATTCCAGAAAAAGTTAAACCACAACTCACTTTCTGACCTTTATTTCCAGATAAGTAAACTACTATGATTTAACATGAGTCTTATATGTAGGGGGGAAAGAAGGAAGGAACTCAGTTAAATCTGATTAAATTGTTCAGTGAAATTGTGTTTTGAAATGCATAACTCTTTCTGAAGTGGACTGCCCCAAACACTAAATTGGAGTCTGGATATTTAGCAACCATTTCCCTCACATTTCTAGGTTGTTTGCACTAACAAACACTCCAAGGCCATGCACCAGTAAATACCTGTTTGGCCAGCTATGACCATGGGCTGTACAGCCAGCTGGAAAAGTTTATCTAGTACCAAATGTAAAAACAAGACAAGAGGTTCAAGGCGTGAAGAATTCAAACAGATAATGCTGAGTTTCAATTCATGTTCCAGTGTAGCCTCTGTAATCTTCTGGTCCATCAGTCTAATGGGGAACGTCACTTGACTTTCTAGAGAATGGCACAGAGTAAAGAACTTCTCCAGGTGATTGTCCTGCAAATACAGTGTAGTCACAGTTAACAAAGTTGATACAGTTCAGGCTGCTGCTAGCTAAGCAAAGCCTGATTGTACCACCTGATGGGATGAGAGAAAATACGTTCACCCTTCTGGGTTGTAGTGATGGCTAGTCCTAGAAATCAATTTTTAAAGCAGCTGTCACAGCATTTTGTTTGTTCCTTTTTATCTGGTTCAGATTCAGGCTCTGGTTAGATCCAATTAAAAGCAGGATAGTTAAAGCCCTCACTGAAGTGACTGCTTCATTTCACAAAAATACTGATCCCTCTCTCTGATAATACTCCATCACATCATAGGTATATAGTCCCTCTGCCACCCACACGTAAGTTCCAGCTACATACAAGTTATGTGCCTTGTAAGCATGCCCTACTTGTATTTAAAAAGCATACTGCAACAAGGTGATGGAGCTGCTTCAGACACAGGGCTTCCAGTTGTTGGGACATAGCTAGAACAGGATGATGGGTAGGAGACACTGTAAAGCCGTGGAAACAAAATAAAGCTGCTCTGCCTCAGACCAGTATCCCAATAAGATGGACAAATTTCCAATTTCCTATCACATTTAAATAACCATAATTGTAAAGTTCTCATTCAGCGCTAAGCTTGTGTCCCCTCACCACATGGCATTGACAGTGAGCTGCCTAAAGCATTCTGGCAGTATAACTGTCCCTACTGGTGGGGAGGTACTATGTCTCTGCAGATGTGGACACGTCTGAAATGGCCTTGCAGAATAGAAGGTGCAGTCTGCAGAAACTGGCACTGTGCCCTGCTAGTGTCTTTCAAATACAGCCTAAGCAGACCCCTGCTGAGCTGAGAGGACATCAGGCTCCGTATTGCTCGATGTGACTAGCTGCTCAGAATACTCTTTTGTTCACTTTTCCCAATAGATTTCATTTCATCAAAGGATTTCATTCACTGAGGATATCACGTTATTTCCATAGCTCTTAGTTGTTTTTAAATCTGCACGGGCTTAAACATCTCCATTTCATAAACCTCCTAAGTCAGTCTGGATATTTGAACGCTCTTTGAAATGGAAGTACAGCTGTGTGTTGCTTCTGATGCATTACCTGAGTGTGAACAGATGAAACAGCTTGCACTTCAACATTGAAAACACCCTTGTGTCCTTCAACCCATTTAATAGGTGGTGTCTGAGATGGAACTTTCTGTGGTGGGAAAAAAATATTGGAATCATCATCTTCCTTCTAACGATCGAGCAGAAAGTCTGTTTACATGGGAGTCTATAGGGTATTCGTGCTATTCACTTCATTTTAGATATCTGAATTCAGTGCCATATAGAGGACCACAGCTAGACATCTTCTTACTCTCATAGATGAGATGGAGAGAAGTTGATGCATTGAACAGCGATGTCTGGAGCACTTCAGCTGGATGCCTAGCACAGACAGTGTGAATATACATCTTCTGATGGAGATTTTTAAGGTTAGACATTCCCAGCTAAAGCACTGCCAAAGGCACTCCATGGTGATGCAGTGCAGTTTTCACCCTCTGGACAGTTTTCTACTTGCCATATTTACTCAGAGGGCACAGTTTTCTGCTCCAGTAACAGCATCTGATTCCATTTCTCCTCCCTTTCCCACACAGCCACAAACAGATGAACAAATCATCCTGTGGTAGCAAATTATTGACTTGATACCCTCTAAATAAACATATCCTTGATTAGACAATTTACAAGGATTTGCTTGGATAATTAACTTTAAAAAACACAATATAACAACACAAAATAATAACACCAGTGGCAATAATAACAACATTTTTCTCCAGAGCTTTCCCTTTTTAAAGTATGAAAAAGAAGGCATTGTCTACAAGAAGACAGCAATATTAGTTGGTAAAACACTTGTGCTGTTCTTCTAGATTAGGAAAATATTATCTCTTCATAGTTATCTTTGTTACCTCAGGAGAGTGAATTGAATAGTGTAATGGCAGCTTATCCAATGCAACAGGAAGACAATAATGTCCAGTCTGAAGACGATCATTTAATAGAATCGGCAGCCACTGAAACAAATGAAGAGAAAACACAGCAATATTCATGACTCTATATGATCAGGGCTATTTATCTAATTTGTCATGTAAAGTCAACAAAACAACAAATGAGATATTGACCCAAGCTTCTCTGCTTTTACCGATTCAACAGTAATTTCTCTACATTTTAAACTCACTGATAGCTACTGTAGGAAAATGTACAAGACTTTTACAAACCATCCCCTTTGAAGGAAACAGAAAGCTTTTAATGTGTGACATATACTTTTCTGATATACTTCTTCCTATCATAAGGATCTAGTAGAGTCCATGTTTTTAGTTAAAAAATTACATATCTTCTACAGATTGATCCTTAGCTTTGATGCAAATCAACAGAGTCAGAGTTTTGCTAAGGATAAATTGCACATCTTGGTAGTGGTCACCATGAGGATTAAGGCCAGAGAGACTCACCATAACTCTGTACTAATATCTGGACACATTTAATTTTTCTCCTATTCAAGTCTGAAAGAGAATGTGCATTTGAGTATCACAGGGTAGAAATGTTTTGGATTCATGTCAACAGAAGCTTGAAAATTAGGTCCTCACCTCTTGCTCCTGAACTACAAACTAATTTACTTTTTACCAATCCTACTGACATGGTGGGACCTGCATCTGTCCATAAAAGAAAGTCCATTTGAAAGAGTTTTCAGTACTGGGATCAAAACCAAATATGAACTTCACAGCAGGAACACATGGAAAGCACTTGCCTGGCCCTAAAGCTCCATTGCTGACCATAGTGCTAGGAAGGTTTCAAATCTTAAGTATTATCATCATCTATGCTTTCCTGTTATTTTAAAATCTCTCCAGTTAAAAATATTGATTGATAAAGAAAAAGGTCAAAGAGACTTTGCTACAGTATGTCTTTCTTAAGCTAAAACATGCTAGTCTCAACAAGAAGATAATGAATGCAAGAGAATTAAGTTTTATCTTCTAAATTCTTTCTGTTTTTTAATTTTGATGTGGGTAAAAGACACTTTAGAACATAACTTATATGCTAGATAGAACCTAATTGGAAATACTATATTAATTCTACCTCATGTATGAACATGTTAGATAACAGTAAATAATTGTAATTCCATGTGTTTTAGGGTTTTTTTGCAATATATAGAATCTAACAGAATTAGGTAATATGCTATAAAGCAGTACTGTTGCAAATACTTAGGCGCATACTTAACCTCAGTTGTATCATGTGAATTCATCAACTTCAAAGACACTTAAAAACGTAAAATTATAGGACAATCATGTAACAGCACAGCTGCATCTGGTTTCTGTGAATTGACATTAAGACCTTCTACTGGTTTTGATGTATTACTACAACCAGAAAGGGAATATATGACAAAACGCTTGCCAAGCAAAGAGTCTGTTTGCATATAAGGTAAAAACATATATGTGTGTATATATATATATATACATATACACACACGCACACTTACATATCACATAGAACTTACTGAATACCCGAGGAGGGTTTCCACAGATGCTCCTTGCTTTGGCTGGCAGCTGATATGATAGAATGTGAACAATAGATGATGTTTCTCTGTGAGTTTTGCTGGCAGCTTAATTTTCACTTCTTCATAAAAGTCAGGGGACCTGTTTAAAAAAAATGACAAGTACATTTCAAATGTAAATATGAGACTGAGCGGTAGGCAAATTTGACAGTAGGCTTTTAGATGCTGTGGTTCTAAAAACTGTATAAATCCTGAAAACAGCTTCAGAGCCTGGTTAAACAAAGTACATATATATGCAGCTATATTTATGAACTATCTACAGCTTTGAATCAGGAAGAGCATAGATGGCATCAGCTGCAATATTTCAGTTTTCACCCACCTCTATACTTTCAAAAATATTCAATTTTAATTTTGGGTTCCAGTATATTTATTGTGTAAATCCTAAATCCCAAAACCACATTAATGAGAATGAGAACGTCCCTTCAGCTCTTTTGGATCCGTGAATTCATCAAAGTAAAAGTTGTTACAAAGTTGTGCTGCTGCTTCCTGCTCCTGCTCCTTAATCTTTGGATTAGGAACATTCTTAACTAACCTCTGAAAAGCTCCAAACAAGAAAAGCAATGTTTGCTTATGCAGTGGTTACTTATGGACATGCATGTAGCAATCCAAATCAGATATGACAAATCTGCACAAAATGTCAATGTTTAAAATGGATTTGTACTAGCATTCCTTGATTAACTGTGTGGGCTAAGAATTATGTAAAGAGGTCATGACTAATACTTTTCAAGTCACACAAATAGTAATAATACTTACTTATTATGATATGTGACAGCTGTGTATATTTCTTGCACAAATTCTGCACCTGAAGATTTCCCAAAAATTACCTACATTAAGAAGAAAAGAAACTAACAGTAGTCAGGTCTAAAGCATTTAGCTGTCATCATCTTGTTTAAAGTCTAAGATAGCATCTAACGGCTGAAAATGACTCTGATTTTGTCTTAGCACATTGACACAAATGTCTTATTACCAAGCATCTTACCCACACACCACTCAGGGTAAAACACCAGGAAAATGGAGCAGAGCTAATTTCTGGAGATACTGCCTACCTCACATCACATTCTCCAGTCATGCACTAAAAAGTTAGGAATTGCAGGAACAAAGTTATGGTAAGCCTCTTACACATTGTCACATTGCCTTTAACTAAATGCTGAAAAGTTAAATTAAAATTATTTTTAGAAGTTTGTTTTTCAGTTGTAGTCTGCTTATTTAGGGTGAGATCCACCTCACCTTACCTTAGAGGTCCAAAGTTCCTTTACAATCAATGAGGAGAAATAGGCATTTTTTGTGCTTGATTTGCTTCCCTCATTTCAGACACAGCCTCATGGTGAGGTCTTGGAATCCAGTAACTTCAAAGGGAGCCCTGGGAGATGAGCTTAGGCAAGGATATCTGTACAGCACAAGCCCATATGTATTGAGATAAAGCACTCTTACAGTGGAGAGGGACTTCAGATGAACTGTCTCTGCCTAAGCATTTGTCAAAACCTAATTGTAATATGGTCAGAGTTTAAGGAAACCAACAACGCAGTATTGTGTAAAAGATGGTGTTACATTCACATGGCACACCTTCAGCTCTGGAAGAAATGTGGCTTGGGGAAATACTGTGCTAATGCTGTGATTTCAGTTCCAGAGCTCAAGTGGAGTAAGGCTGTGAAGTACACCCTGTGCAGTATGAGCACACTGATAAAGGCTAGTCAGGTGTCAGTACTTGTTTTATTCCATATTGTCATATTTCAGTTCCTTAAAGTAGTATTTCCACTCATTCCCACCCCCTCCCCCAATGCATAAAATCACAAAAGATTTTATCCCAATATGTTTCTTAAATAGCCAATTACACTGTCTAAAAACTTCCCAAAAAATTCAGGCTGAAGTAGATGTCTGCATTAGAAACACTTCAAACTGAATATCTGAAGCTTGGCAAAGCTGAAGAGAGGATCTTATGATGAGAAATGTTGGATAACCTGAACTGCTCTGCTAGTAGTGCACATGTACGTCCCAATACACAGTGTGTTTCAAACACGAACAAGTACCTACACTGCATGATTATGCACCCATTCAGATTCAGGCAATGAATATCCCAACTTCTACCTTCCAGTGTTACACCTGAGTATTTGTTTACACATACTGCGTACAGGGGACTTACTTACTCTGAAAGACAGACTACATCATTCTTAAAAGGTCTCTGAAGCTCTGTGAATTTTGCCAGAAGAGTTTCTAACATAGCATTGATTTAATATGATGTCACTCTCTGAAAATAAGGTAGGAAGACTTAGATAGGAGGGAGTAATGTGCTTCCGTTCCACTTGAGTGCCAAGTCTTTCCTGTTGTGAGTAAGGACTACAGCCCTGCTTTCTGATGAGAATGACAAGCTTCACAAGCTCTCTGATGTTAGCCTTCCTAAGGCCTCACTAGAAAGTGTGGCCATGGGGAGCAAACGACGAATGATCTCTTCAGAGGTTCCTCAGGAATGCATGTAACCAAAAGTCTGATAAGAAATTTCAGCATTCATTACCGGCATTGCACAGGATGGGTCTTCGCCACACATAAACTGGATTTTGATGGTAATGTTTCTTGCAGAAGCCAGTCGGTTAGCAAAATTCAGCCTCTGAGGGTAAACATAGAGGAGATTTCTGGAAGACAGAAAAGGAAGAATAAAATGGGTAAATGGCAAGCGTTTGTGTTTCAAAATGAAGTGCACAAACCAGCATTTTTCTGACTCCTCTCCCTGTCCTTCAATTCCAGCTTTGCCAGAACTCCATTTCAAAAGTTCACAAGGAAAAAGTAAGTTGCTGTGACGCACAGAACATCCTGTGTTAAAGACTGCTTATATATTAAGCTATGTCTTTGTGAAAGCAGTCTTCCTATCTCTCCTTTCTTTTGGAAATATGTAATTCCCAGTTACATCTTTGCTTGATGTAATGAAAAGCAGGAAGCTCTCAAGAGAGCAGCTCCCTTCTCAGCTGTGAAGAATCAGATTTTGGGAAGGGTAAGGAATCATTCAGAGGTGATAAAAACAAGTACACCAGCAAACAAAAACAACAATTGAAGTTCATATATTTCTAGCTTATAGCAACAAACTGTCATATATTTCTAGATTATGCAAATCAAAAAGCAGTATCAATGAACCTGAGTAATACAAACAAGAAATTTCAAACTGTAATTCTAGAAATGGACATTTTTAATAATTAATATGAAAATGCTTTAAAATACAGGATACTTTGCTGTTCACTAGGTTCTGTATATGGGCAGATCACTAAACTTAAAAAGCAGCTTTAATTTCTGTGTGAAATTTGGCAGCATAGATGGTCTTCCAAGCTGAAATCCCAACAATTCTGGTAGAAGAGTCAAAATGCTAATACAAAGCTTTTTCTCCAATGAAATCTATGGCAAGTCTGAGATTTCAGCTAGACCTGGATTGCACACATTCTGGCATCACAATTATGTTTATTTAATTTCTCATTTTCCCAGTCTGGTATAGGTTTCTCACTGTTTGTCCTCTGAGTGTAAGGAATAAGACTAGTGTCAGTGGAAGCATGTTGCTTTCATCAGAAATGATGAGAACTACACATGGGCTTTCATGCTTTTTTGTTGTTTGTGACAGTCAGAAACTACATAAAAAGTCACCCTATCCTTGTCACAGATATCTCCTCAGCCCATTGTCAGCAGCAAATGTAGAGCAGCTTCGGAGAATTTTGTCATTAAATCAGACAGTTCATCTTCCATTTGTTGTATTCCAAGACCTGGAAAACCACGGTTGATTCTCCTTATTGCCATGTGTCACAATGTGACAATACTCTTCAACTACACAGTCTGAGCTACGTTGCTAACCAACACGCACTACATGGGCCATGACATACCTCAGAAAACAAACTAGCATGCAACTTGCCTTTCCCTTTGTTTAGAACAGTACTCCTGCCTGACACACTAATGCACTTTCTTCCTTACCTTCTTAAATGCAATTTCTGCTCTGCCAAATTCTCTCCAACATGATATTAGGAAAAGCTAAGTGAAAGAGAGAAATATATTGGTAACCTCCCTTGAATTATGCTTGGGGGAATAACATATTAAATGAAGGATATTATCCATATTACATCTGCCAGAGATGAAGAAATACAAGAAGGGGAGGCTGCATATATCCAGTCATTGCTTCATTAATCTGCAGCCCAGCAGATGTCACAAATCCATATAATGTCCTGAGCACTGGATTTTACATTTAAATGTGACTTGAGATGAAAGACATGTAAAATCACAAACAGAGAGCTCTCTGCTGACTACACAACCAAGGAAGCATTATTCCAGCAAGTACTGTACTGAAGAGCTAAAGCTTGTGCCATTTATGCTCAAGCAGTTTTAGGGATCTTGCTTACATGTGTATTAAACCCATCAGCACTGAGGAAGAACAGAGGCAAATGCTGACTCTGGATATCCTACAAAGATGAAAGTGTTGACTGATTTTTTTTAAAAGCAGGAAGGTGGGGAGATGATCAAAAGAGGTTCTTTCACACAAGCATGAATCGTAGACCTACTGCTGACCACTGTGTAAGCGCTACTGCCCGCGAGCATCCGTACCCTCCAAAAGGCTGAAAGAAAGCAACGATAAGGAGCATTTCCACATGACAATTAGCAGGGGTGTCAGGGCAGCACGTTCTGCTGTCTTTTATATAACAGGACAGCTAGCATGCCTGCAAGGATGTGGTGAGCTCCAGGAGGCATTGTGCCTCCCCTGAGGTTCTGTGCTGAGCAGAAGTATTTAAACAGTATGTCACAGCAATTACTTTTGGTCAATGTGATTAAACTTCTCCACCCAATCTCCCTACTGAAAGCGCAGGGCTCTACCTCCAGACACAGTCAGATGTGCTTACAAGAAGCAAAACAGCTATTCAGGAGTCAGTATGGGTCTACCAAAGCCATGGCAGAGCACACAGCTTCACAAAGACCAGGGTCCCACAGGACAGCAGAGTCCTGGGTGAGGCACGGATCCAGACAGCTTCTCTGGGTTGGAGACTGACTCAGCAGAGGGACAGTAAGATAAGAGGCTATTTCTGAATCAGTTACATGCTGGGATAACTAAGGGTCCACCTAGCCTGACACAGGCCACTATGCAGCAATTCTCATTTGAATTTGCTGACCTTCCTACTCCCTCATGGGACTTAGCAGTGGTGATCTGATCACTTCTCAAGTCCAAAGCAATGCAGACCTATCTACCAAAATAAAATCTATGCAGAATTTCAAGTCTGTGACACTTCTCATTGAATATTCCTGTTTGAAATTATTGGTTGTGCATATGTGTGACACAATAAAATCCTTCTCCTTGCTAAATTACACACTGTGAGGTGTCTACAAGTGCATCTCAAACTTCTAATGAATATTAGGCATGTTCATTAACGACTGTGACAAGAGCGCTACAAATACCAAAAGCCAATATATGTGCAAACAGTTACTACTGATACAAACCACAAATGCTCTATACGTGAATAGCGACGGATGGGTTAACATTGCCATTTAAGACTTATGGTACTGGAAACAAAAACTGATACAGCCATTAGTTATAATTTTCAATCTTTGTTGACTCCTTTACACTTTTGTTGGGGTGGGCAGGGAATGTTCAGAAAAAATGGTTGAAAATCATAATGCAAATCACAAACATTTCACTGAATATGGAAACCTGTTCTAGTCAGTGGCTGACTAGAATAAATGGCACAATGACAGAGCGTCAACATGTCACATTCAAGAGGATGTGGATGTGTTATACATTCTGTATCTTAGTACGGATAATTTGGATAATAGTTTGAATGATTCTGCTCATGTTGCTAAAATTAGGAATAATCTAAAGAGTCAGTGGTTAGATCCTCATTAAATTTAGGCTAAGAGTGATTGTAACTTTATGCTGTCCATTAGAATTGGTGTGAAAACCTTAGTAAGTTTTGTATTAAAGTTTTGGTCAACACACAAAAAAAATGTTGCCAGAGGAACTAAGTGGAAGGCTGACTCAAAACATCAGATTTCTGCAGACTCAAATCACAAAATTATGACAAGAAAATAGGTATTTCTAAATTTAAATGTGACCTAGAGCTCAGAGTCAAGTCGGATTGAAATTTTAATAGACTTCTTTCCAGGAATCAGTTATTCATTATACATCATTTAACTGACCTCCCATTATTTCAAATATAAAATATTGCAAACAAGTAATCAGTGACATAATGTGTATGAAAACCAAGACCAAAGGCAAATAACAGATTTTGAGAATCATAAAAATCACTAACAAAATAATTTCTTACCTATCATATTGATTTTTCTGGTGTGCAAATGTAGGGAACTTTTTGAGCCATGATTGCCTGATTTAAATCACCTTTTTCAGAAGTTACTCTTAAAACAGTTTTAAACTTTTCAAACATGAAAATCAAAGGGAATATACCACCTTCTGAGGTCTCTGTCTTCCATGCTTTGCAGTCCTCTACCAAATTAAACCCACTGTTCCATTCATAAAACCCTCACTTCCTCTACTGGTTCAAGTATTATTAAATCATGAGTGGCAGTGTTATTGAGGTATATAAAATGAGTGGATATCCACCAGGTGTCAACTATTGCAATGTCAAGACACTGTAATAACAAGATGGTAGGTCACACGCAAGGCATTGCCCAGCTGCCTGAATGAAGCATGAAAAACTGAAAAAAGGAAGATAGTAACTATACCACAGAGCTCTATTATACATCCATTTGCCATGCTAGGCCCTGTGATTACTCCAGCTGCGTAAATAGAGGTAAAGTTCTATCCCACAATTCTCATTGATCCCAAATAATCAAAGAGTGAAATTTCTGACATACCAGAATTTTACACATAATAGTGGACCTATTTTAAATATGTCAATATATCTGAGAATTGTGATGAGATAATTTTGTCCTGATATATTAATTAACAAATGACACAGTGAAGGAGCGCTAGTAAATACAATAGCATACCATGTATTCCCAAAATACTGGTAACATGCCCCCCCCGAAGTTACATATGTTACATAATGTGAGGCAATATTTGATGATTTATCATTTAATCACTATGCACTTCTAAAATTTCAGCTGTAATGCTTAAAAACTTTAATGAATGACATACAATCCATCGGTATGTAAGATCTATGCAGCTAGAAGTCAAGAGGTGGACCTTGGGTTTGTTTTAATTGTCTCACTAATGCAGTTACACACACCCCCATCCTGACCTGGGGGGCTGGCAGCTGTACTGACAAACTGCACTGCTCTTGGGTGATGCCTTTTCTCTAATCTATACACCTTGAAGTATCCATTTATCAAGCAAGAGGGAAAAAAAGTCCAGTGAGAAAACTGATGTCCCCCCTCTCTACGTGCCCTGCAGACCTAAACTAAAGAAGTCACCTGTTCTTACCAAAAGGAAAGCCACCTACTACTACCAGTAATCCAGCACTATTAACAATTCTTAGATGAAGTTACTGGAGTATTTCCATCCCAGTGAGAAGCAGTCATATGGTTCGAAGCAGACAGAAGAGTGTCCTGAGGTTAGCAAAAAGATCTGCAGGCTTGGAAATTAAGGTTTTGGTTCTAAGAATCCTGGCTGGAAGCTCTTTACAAAATGATTATATTCACCATGCTACTACCCAACCAG